TTTGCACCAATGAACTCCTTGGTTTTCTGTACTTCAGAGAGATTTAAGTGCATTTTTTTTTAAACAAAAATAGTCATAATGCTACAAGATTACAGTTGAAATGAGAATAAAGTCTTATCAGAATAAAGTAGTAATCTTAGAAAGATGTAGTCATTTTATGAAAACTCCAAAATGAAAATTAAGAAAAAAAAAATACTTTTTTCTTGCTAAAATGTCTTTTCTTGTAATTTTAAGACTCTTCAGAAATTATCGTAGCCTGGCGCTAATACTCCACACAACTCACAGAAGGGATTGCAATAAATGCCACTTTTGAAAATGTTTTCAGTCATTTATAATTTCTTTTATACAAAAGCATGCAAAAAAAAAAAAAAACTAAACGAAAAAAATATATTAAAATCAGAAATCCGTTTTTAAGCCGTATCGACCATCTCTAACATAACTAATAATTCAACCTACTGCATTTAGAGTAGTTCCTTTAAACACCACTATAAGTTTAGCTTAGAATTAGCTCTGTCCCTTCACATCAACTGTAAACATAATATTAAAAAAAAAGTCCAGAATGTTTTGAGAATGACAGTTCTGCATCTTATACAGACATAAAAACTCACTTAAAAGCATAATAATGCTTATTTTAATAACCCATGCTGTTAAAGTTATAACTTGTCAATTGTCTATTTATGCCATTTCCAGGTTAATTTAAAGCACATGCAGCGATAAAGCTCACAGCTTGTGTTAAAAGTAGCCTTACAAGCTAAATGCTGTTAGTAAACAGCCTAGTTCAACACGCAGCAGGCAACGTGATTATGCAACATGCAGCTGCCACAGGCCTGGTCAAAGTCTGTGAGCGTACTTGGGGCATGTTAGAAAAGGGAGGCTGGGAGGAGGCAGACTGATGGTCTGCAGGTGGAGAGGAAACGCCTGTAGTGCTGCTGTTAGCACCAGAGCCCATCTGCAGCGTGGTGGGAAGGAAATCACAGGATTGGCACGTAGCAGGTCAACAAAAGCTAACCAGAATTCAAATACAACTTTGGTGGGATCTAAACATGAATCAAAAGGTGTTAGAAAGGTGAGCAATGGGGGATAATAGAGAAAGGTGTTAAAAAAAAAAAAAAAAAAAAAACCCAAGAGTAAGAAGTTGAAGGACTCCAACCTGCGCTGCGCTGGGGAAGAGGGGCTTAGTGACCGCAGGCTGCACCACTGGTGCTGCGGGTCGGCTGGGGATCGGTCCGGCTGCAGGGGTCGGAGCGATGTGGGGCATCCCCGGCCTTGGGGCCATGTGAGGGGGGATTCCTAAATAACAAACATCACTTCATCAACAACAACAACAAAATAAATACGGAGTACAACTTACAGAAAAAAAAGGTTTGGCCTGTTTATGATTCTAGTTCAGAGGTTTCCAACCTTCACAGACCACAAAGCTGCTGGTACCATCAGTACAGACCAGGTGTTTGCAACCTGAGGCTCCGGAGACACAAGTGGCTCTTTGGATCTTAATAACTTCGGCTAAACTGATTAAGGACTAACTAATGCGATAAAATATACATCTAATAACTGAACATTTTTACTGGCAATATTTGAATTGCATTTCTACAGAGAATGACACTAAAAGTACCAGTAATATGTTTTTTAGGTCAGTTTTTTGGAAATTATGGAATCTATAACAAGCTTTTACTCAAACATGATTTTCTGTTTTTTCCCCCACAGGAAAAAAACAGATCCATCCTCTGTTTGCAAAATGTTATTTTTATCTTTATTTTAAATAAAAAAAAAGAGAGATAAATTGTTAGTTCTTGAGAAAATGACAAACTTCTGAGAGCAGATATTTATCTAAGCTTATAATTTTTTTTAAAGGTTTTGAGACATTTGCAGCTCTAAAGTTTTATTTGGCCAGCCTATGAGCAGAAATAATTGTTTATGCTGTAAAGGTTGCAGACCACTGGTCTAGATTTTAACTTTAAGCTACATCATTACTTATAAAAACGCATCCACAACCGACCTGGAGGAATTGCAGGCATCCCTGGCATCATGGGAGGCATCATCCCTCCCATCGGCATCATGCTGTAAACAAGATGGATAAACTTTATATACCAACTAAATTATTATTTAGACCACTTTAGCTAACTGTTAAAGAGAAAGCTAAAAAAAAATGCAGTGAGTTCTTGCTTACGCTGGTGGCATTCCAGGCATGGCGGGAGGCATGCCGTGCATCATGGGAGGAACACCTGGCATCATCGGAGGCATTCCTAAAAGAGAAAAAATTGACTTCTTTTAAAAATAACTCAACACATGATTTTAAACATCTGGTTTAAGACAAAAGCATAAAACATGTTAAATTTAACAGATGCAAACTTGAAATTAACAGAGAATATCGTTTCTGCCTTGCCTTGATATCCTGCAGGAGGCATCCCATGTGCGCCAGCCACAGGGGGCATTCCAGGTTGGGTCATTGGTGCAACGTACCCGGCCTGGGGCTGGACGGCAGCTACCTGTTGGACAGACGGTCCCGCCTCATCGTCGTCGTCGTCGTCATCAGAGTCGTCCTGATTGTTTGACTTCTTCTTCTGACTCTCTGAAAGCAGAAAAGGAAGAGTTCTGATAAAGAAATCAATGCGAGTGTTTTCACATAGGATAGTAAGGATGGCATTACAGCAAGTAGGAATCAGAATCAGCTTTATGTGCACAAGCAAGGTATTTGACTTTGCTTTGAGCACTCTGAGCATACATGCATAACATATAATCTACAGAAAACAAAAAATAAAAACATCTGTATCAAGAAAAGAAAAATAAAGATTTTTTTCATCAGAGACAAGACGACATCATCATCTTGACTTTCACCAATTGTTTAAAGAGACCGTAATCATTTTTTATGAGAACTTCTGATTTTGAAGACATTAATAATTCTCATACTTCTCGTTATTTTACATTTAGCAAATATGCATATATATATTTTGTCATTTTACTTAACCTAAAACAAAAGAGGTTTTGTGTGAAAGAAGTTCAGGCAGTGAGAAGAAAAGATGCATGCACCTTTTTTTCATTCGAACTGTCAAACTGTATGTTTAGTTTGATTTCAAACTGTAAACATACAGTCAAGAAGGAAAAATGCTGCAATTGTTTACATTTCCTTGTCATAAGCAAGTGTAGTGGATAAAAAAAAAGAAAAACGATCGATTTCTTCAAATTCCACTTCTGATCTGTAACAGTAAGAGTACCTTGTGATTTCTGTTCTAATGTTCGTCTTCTTTCCTGCATGTCTTTCTCTGGAATTCCCTCCATGCCATAGATTTCCAACTCGATGTCTGTTCTCCCTGGAATTGCGTTCGGTACACTGTCAATCGTCTCTTTGTGTACCTGAAATACATGCAAAGTAAGTGAGCCCGCAGGGCATGCAAGTACAAACATTCACTTGACTGTTTTTCTTCCCTCCGCCCCCCAAATTCAGCTCGACTTATTCAAAGCAACTGCGATTAGAGACTCATACCTGCATGCAGTGAATAGCCAAGCCGGGACCGGTATATAGCTTCTTGTGGCAAATGTGGCATTTAAAATGTTTTGCCTTTTGATGCTGAATGAGGATTTTCTCATCGTCAAAGTCTCGATTACAGTACCTTAAAGTCAGAGTTAAGGAGTTTTCTGTATTTTATTAACCACCGACTGAGAATCACAGACAAACCGATGACGTTACTCGAGAGCGAAACAGCAGTTCTTGTTTGGTAACAAGATTACATAAAGATTCAGACACACGGGATGGTAATCCATAGCTAGCTCGTTTTAAAATTAGCAATGAAGGATTAAGTAAAAACAACATTTTATGAGGTAGAAACACTCAAAGCTTGGTTTTCTAATCTTATTAAACCGATTTAAAAGAATAGATCCAACCTTTTGTCTGATTTTGAGCCATTTGCTCCGCTAACATTTAGCTGACAGTGCTAACAGAAGCTATCTTAGGCCTCTCTTTGTCAGGCTAACATGTAGCCTGTGGCCTTCCCGCCTTCCGCAGCATTTTTTCGCACTTTAAAGAAGGATACCAGCACCACGGCTTCATTTGCTTCTTCTTCTTTCGCCCCATTTTGTGGAAATACTGAACCGCAGGTCACACAACACTGAAATCGATGTTATTATCTCTTTGATAAGAGCATGCTGCTATTCCGTGACAAGAACAAAAATGGCGCTCCGAAGTAGGAAGCGTTTTGCTCAGCGGTCTCACGTAAACGTAAAACTGACGTCAGTAAAGGAGACGCCCACAGACTTAATAAAGATTTATCACGTCTGTGGAAACGCCCCTCAGTTTAAATAGGGGCGTTTAGTTCACTTTCATATTAAGAAATCCATACAAAATTATGGTTATTAATGTTGTGTAAACTCAGGGTGGTAAAATAAATGGCCAAAGGAAACATCTACAACAAGTATATGAATACAAAACACAAGTGATGAAAATAAGCAAATGTAACTAGTAAAATGTTCTACTCGGTGTCAAAAATACAAATATAAGACAAGAAGCTGTCTTTCTTTAATGGGTTTGTAATGGGTGAAGTTTTATGTAAAGTAACACGACAGAAAGTGTTGGTGGTTTCACTGTAACCGAAGCAGTGCTAAGTTTTCACCACCGGATGGCGTCATATTCTTCATTTATCTTAAAAATCCATACCCCTCCTCAGCCCCTTGACAATCTTATGTTTTTGAATTGTATTTTTGCATAAGTTTATATACAGTTCTGACCCTTACAAAGTTGAGGTTGAGTGATATGTGTTCTTTCAGCATTATTTGTAATTCAAAATGCATATTTGAATTTAGCAACTCCCGCAGTTTGATTATTGTGGATAAAATGAGCTCCCCTCATACAAATCTGCATTCTTGCACAACTTGGGTTCATCTTCCATCATGCTTCAAAGACCATTTCTACAAGTTTAACTTAACCACTGAATAATGTTTGAAATAATTACACAGAGGAAAAAACTGCAACAGTGAACAAATGTCTAAAAGAAAACACTAAAATCCTATTTAGATTTGTATAAAACATTTTATTGGACCCTTATTATGCACATATCAAATCTACAAAATATGCACAACATCAAAATACTATCTGCAGCTTTACTCCTCACTCAGTTTGGTGTAGTAGCCCTTATTATGTACAATCCCAGGCCATCATTAACCTTCATTTAAATAGGATACATACAGAATATATCGAACATATATGATGTCCAAACAATTACGCAACATACCAGTATCACCACATAAAAAAAATCTAACATGTTAAAACATTAATCTGGACTTCATTAGATTAATAGTCATTAAAGCGTGTAACACGAGTCTTAAAATACAGTACAGTTAGAGACCTCAAGCTTTGGGTGATGCTTGCTTCCCATATCAGCTCCAATCAATTAACCAATCAAGTTGAGACAAGAACTAATAGACAAATATTGATTCTTTTTTCTTTTTCTGTCCAGCTGGCTTCTGAACTGAAAATGAAACAACCTAAACTTGAATGACTTGAGGTCAGGGATGTATGTTCAAACAAGAAAATGATTCACTGAGGCTCAACCATGAATGAATAAAGTTATCTTTTGTGTTTTATTTATACCTTGTGCAACAATTACTGAAAATGAAGCGCTTTGTTAGGGAAGATGAAGAATTTCACTGCATTTTTTTGTATCGGGAGGATGTTCTTCACTAAAGGTTTTTCTCTTACATATGACAGACTCCTTAGTCACAAAACCTAGCAACACTAGTTAGGGACACACTCCTCGCCAGTGCTTGCAGCAATGTTTTGGCATCAAAAAGTTTCAAGTCAGAATGGCACTTCTGTTTCTTTTTCATAAGTACAAACACAGCCCCTGCACACAGAAAAGAGACGAGACTGAGGTTTTTAAAAGCGCTGGACACGGTTTTGTTTCCATAGGCATGGGCCAGTAAGTGTTTCTCCTGGTAAGATAGTCTGAAGTCTGCAAACTGATATCATGACATTTACACAAAGATTTAAAACAAAAAATGTATCAGCTTATCTCCGTTTATTCCTGTTTTTTTTGTTTTTTATCACTATGAGATTATTAGTCATTTGACTAGCTTAGCTCTGTTTTAGCCATGTTTAGGATTTTCTTCTTGTAAATTTTAACATAGTTAATGTCAAGATTATTGTCAACTGCTGGTGCAGCATAGCTAGTGCAGCTGTTTGAGCTGAAATCCCACAAACTGTGAAGATGGAGATTTTTGCACAAACAGAAGAAAACAATGTTTCTTAAAAAAATCATATCTGTAGGTGAGTGGTAGGGGGCCTCACAGGCTTCAAACTGAAACCATGGCATGTTGGAAAAATTTTGTAGTTTGAGATCCTTATTATACCTAGCCAGTCCACGCCTATGTATTGATTCTGAAGGCAATACTTAACAGTAACTCACACCCTCTTCAAAACTTAAATTTTTAACCTGTAAAGGTGACTGACGTGTAGCTTAAAGAATCTGTTTTCATTGAAGTTGTGCTACGTGATGCACCTGATGCTTGTATGGACAGCGAAACACCAACATCCTGTAAGAGTAAACGCTTTTTTTTTTTCACTTAAAGAGGATTACGAGAAACTGTTATGACCCAAGAATGGTGTAACACTGTAAGGTGTTGTCGCCGTCTCTCCAACCAAGAGGCAGATGTGCAGAAATACTTCCAGCAGGTGATGTCTTCATGAGAAGGCACCGTTGGATTGAGGAGAAATAGGCAGAAGAGGTAAAAGCAATGCTGTAGTGTTAAATCCGAGGCTTCTTCTTTGCTGATGTTTTATCGTCGAGTTCCACAAGCAACCAGCAGACACAGACAAAGAGCAGGTGGAGTTCAGCTTGAATGATAAGGCTAGAGTTAGTGAAACTAGTAGGCTGTGGGACGTCTTAGACTACCGACAGGTGAGACTCTGAACGTGAATACTGAGGTGATACATCCAGCCAGCTGGCCCCCTGGAAGCAGGTTCACGGTGCCGGGGGTATTCGCACATCGAGCAGGCTGTAGGCAAAAACGTTCCAGAACACAGCACAGAGCACAAACAAGGTGTAGACGCAGAAAAATATCCAAAACAGCGACTGCTCCTGAAGCCGTTGCTCGTAGTTCTGCAGGACCACCACGCCTAGGGTGAGACCCACCAGGACTCCCCCCAGGTGAGCTACAAAGCTGGGGTTGGGACACGGGGGGAAGGCTGGAGGGTAGAAGCGCAGCCACACAGCCCGACCAAACTCTACGCTCACTGTGAACACAGAGTGAGAGAGAGAGACAAGATGTGAACATGTGACGATACAAGAAATATGTTTTAAATGAGTCACCTCTATGTCACTTAATATCAGATGGAAGATGCAGTCTCTGTGATTAATCTGGCTCTTTTTACATCTTTAGAAATTACTTTCAAGTATAGAAAGATGGCAGACAAACATATTCCTGCATAATAGCTCAAGCTCAGTCAGACTGGATGGATGGATGGATGGATGGATGGATGGATGGATGGATGGATGTGGTACAATGATGCCTTGTTTCAAAGAAAGAAAGAACAAGCAAGGAATGAAAGAACATAGGGAAGAGAAGAAGGACAAAGGGAAGGAAGAACTAAAAATAACACTTAAAAAGGAATAATTTCAGGAAACAGAAAGATTTGTCCATACTTTACAATTACCCAGATGCAAAAAATACTGAAATAAATGATGTACTTTTCCAAGCTTTTCCAGACTGCATAAGAAATCCGATCATTTAGTTGATCTTCTAAGATTTATAGCATTTTAAAAATTATGGTAAAGTTTGGAAGAGACAACACAAGTTTAGTCAGTCAGTAATTAAAACAGTTCAGTATTGCCTTCAGTCATGGATCTCAGGAACAGAGTAGAAGAACAATGGTGGTAAAAAAAACATAAATAAATAAATAAATCCACCTCACCTCATATCAGAGGTGAGGTGGAGGAGAGGCGGATTATTTCCAACTTACTGCAAACCAAGGCCATGGCCATTCGGAATAACTTAAACTGACACTTCATTCCCGACCAGTTCTAGAAAAACAGAAAGAAAGAGAGGACTCAGATATTGGGGGAAAAGCATATAAAGTGCCAATGGCACTCCTGGAATTCACACACATGCTCACAAATACACATCATGGCATCAAAACAACATCAGTATGTGCCCCTTGTCTTAATTCAGGTCAATTATGAAAATGTTCAAGACACTCTGACCCTCTGTGGTAAGAGATAATATGACTTCAGAACGGAGAATAAAGACAAATACCTCCATCCTGACCTTGAAAATGATCAGAGGGACCTGCTGGAATCCATGATGGGCAAAATAAGACACAGAGGTTCACTTTGAGGAACAATAAAAGTGTGTTTGATTACATATTAGACGGGTGGGAGTTACAACAAAGGACAGGAGGGTGCATTGATGGGATTTTATTCACACTCTGTCACATAAGCATGTCCACACACCGGCACACTTGTGTGATCTTTGAAGAACTGACAGTGAAGAATGTAAGGTATTTGGAGGTGGAGAAGCACCTGCTGGGCTTTCAAACAGGATCTTCTCAGGATTAGACAGGGCATATGAGTGATGTCTTCAAAGACACACCCATACATGCAAACACAAAAGCTCACCATTACAACATTGGCCAAATGTGCCGAGACGAGGGCGTACACTCCTCCCGACGATCCGACCACCGGAGCCGTCATGTCGGTGACCGACACCGCCAGAGACCCTGCAGTGAAGACGAGGGGCACAAATCTGTCAAAGGGCTTCTGCTAAAATTAGAAATGCTCAAGGATATCCTTTCCCTTTTCTCAAAATGAAAGCAACATCTTGTATTTAGATGACCTTAAAGAATAATGTTAAGTCAGACAGAGTGAAAAAAGTGCAACTATTAAAGAAAACCTAAGAATTGCCTCATTGGATTTAGGAAGGAATGCACTTGATTAACTGATGATTACCCGTATGATTTCCTCTATAAGAGCCGGCGCTTTGACAAGTTTGCTGCTTTGGCGTATACAGGTGAGTAGAAACGCAATGGCAATGAGGGAACGCATCAACAAAGATCTAAGAGAAGCAACTGTTAGTTAGATAGGATTATCCAAATCAACATGGGCAATGCTCACTCAAAGTTAACATGTTAAATCATAAAGTTAATGTACAATAATAACTTTATTATTGCACATTTGTTGTTTGAAGAAACTGTATTCCCTCTTAAGATATGGTGACGGTGTCTTGAGGCCTTGCCAGCAATCCTCAATGATCTAAATCTTGAAAGGGAAAAAAAATTCCTTCAGAATTTCTCCAGAAAGTGATAACTCAGATTGTTGTGGCTAAAGCTGTTTTTACAAGCTACCAAATCTTGGCGTGAACTTGAGTTTTTCCCATGACTTAGTTGACCTATATTCATCAAGGTTTGCAAACTGAATTTGTTTGCATCCCTCTAAAGGTCTTGCACATCAAATGTCATCCGTTTGTTTTCAAGCTGACATTTTATTAACCTTATTTGTAGACATTGTCGGGAGCACCAGATATGTTCCTTTATATCTCTACATGTAGAAATATGAAGTGAAAGCAAGTATTTTGCCCTTTTCCACAAAACTGTAGGCGTTGCAATGCCAACCTCAACTCTAGGGTCTCCCAGTTCAGAAAGTCATACTGACAGAAAGTATGACTAACTGAATAATTTGCAAAGCTTTGGCCTCTGGTATAATGGGTATGTCAACACTGAATGGAATGAAGGCAGCTAACTAGGGAATGTAGGCGTACTGTATCCTGACAAACAGAAGCTTTCTCTCACTGTATCAGTGCAAAGTGCAACGTTATGTAGAAAAATAAAAATGAAGAAAAAAATAAATTCACACTGGTGCAACTCCTGCAGAGTGCCAGAGTTAAAGAGAGCTGCTGCTTTCCTTCATACCCATTTATATCACGCATAAAAGACCCAATCAAGCACTGAAAAGTTACAGTAAACAGAAAAAACTGCAAAGAAAAGAAAAGGTAGAAAAAGCAGTTGGGATAATTCATCTTTAACTGCGTTTAGAAGTACATTCTGATTCAGTTTGTAAGTTTCCCTCCTCTGGTTGCTTTGAAATTCGGCACATTACTGATCCAGCATTAGGTCAACACAAAATGGAGCAGAAGAATCAATTGTTGAGTGATGTTACACTTTTTATTCTCATCTACGATGCCACACATATTATTAATATTAATATTCTTTAAGTAACAACCCTGTGTACACACATATTCCTCATGCAAAATTAAAACATCCAGTCCTTTTCAAATAAATGTAACTGGAGGATGTGTCTTGTTAAGCTACTCTACTGCCAAGCAAAGTGAGCAAGACGATAAGGAAAGAAAAAGTTCTGTCAGAGAACCGCAGAAAGAAGTGTGACCTTGGGGTCATCAAGGTCCCTTAGCAAGTGTTAGATAACATCTATGCTAACTGGTTATTTGGGGAGGACACCAGAAAGACGCCTTTTCTGTCCTACTATTATAAATGTAAACACTGGTCTATTACTTGGATGCATCAAAAGTTTGCAGGGGAGTAGCTAAGATGGCTTGGAGTGACAGACCTCTAAAATTGTGCAAAGAGGAATGGTTAGAAATGTCTCTCTAACCCCAACCCTAGAAAAAAACAGGGATAATAATAATAATAATAATAATAATAATAATAATAATAAGAGTGGAATTAGATATTTTGTTAAAAACAAGCTATTTCATAAAATTTGATTTTTTGCCCCACTGAATAAATGTCCTCAAATCGAAGCTTGACTTTTCTAAAAAAAAAAAAAAAAAAAAAAAACTTTTTGAGATTAATCTTCTACAAAAAAAAAAAAAAAAACTTT